AACTCCGAGTCCCTCCCGGATGACCGAACTTCTCACCTTATCCCTAAGGGAGACACCAGCCACCCTGCGGAGAAAACCCATCTCGGCCGCTTGTACCCGCGATCTCGTTCTTTCGGTCATGACCCATCCTTCATGACCATAGGTGAGGGTAGGAAGGGAAATGGCGCGGTAGACAGAGAGCTTTGCCTTCTGGCTCAGCTCCCTTTTCGTCACACGGTGCGGTAAAGCGACTGCAGTACCGCTCCCGCTGCTCCGATTCTCCGACCCATCTCACGCTCCATTGTTCCCTCACTCGAGAACAAGACCCCGAGATACTTGAACTCCTTCACTTGGGGTAAGGACTCATTCCCTACTTGGAGTGGACAGTCCATCGGTTTCCTGCTGAGAACCATGGCCTCAGATTTGGAGGTGCTGATCCTCATCCCAGCCGCTTCACACTCGGTTGCGAACCGATCCAGTGAGTGCTGAAGGTCGCAGACCGATGAAGCCATCAGAACCACATCATCTGCAAAAAGCAGTGGTGCAATCCTTAGTCCACCGAACTGTAGACCCCAGTCGTGGGGGAATTAATGTACAATACAATGTAATATTTGAAAGGCATACATTATTACATTTTCATTGCATGAGTTCATAATGTTTCACTCCACTTACATCAGCCAAAAGGAAAAGAGCCTCTTCTTTGTTGAAGCCATCATGACCAGCAGAGATCTTTGGAGGATTCCTCCTCGATTCGGATGAGGACCTTCTGTATCTCTCTGCTCCATTTGGTCCGCTGACTGTTGAAGCTGTTTAGCCATATAATACTGCTACTCAATCTCGAAATAAAATACGAACTTTTAGGGAAAAAAACCCAGCAATAATAACGTTTAAACCTANTCTGTATCTCTCTGCTCCATTTGGTCCGCTGACTGTTGAAGCTGTTTAGCCATATAATACTGCAACTCAATCTCGAAATAAAATACGAACTTTTAGGGGGAAAAAACCGGCAATAATAAAGTTTATAAATCTAAATAATCCGTTAAAGGTCACAGCGGTTCTCTCCTCTTGCTCCTGATATTTTCACCCCGAAATATTGTACAGTAACAACAAAAGTTACTGTAACATTACAGCACTATTTACAGTATTGCTGTAATGTTACAGTAGGTTTTAAAGTGCTGTATACATTTCCCGCCGGACGGGTAGCCAGTGGAGGTTCTGGAGGACGGGAGTGATGTGGTGATTGAATTTGAGCTGACTGTTTTGCATTTGTTTTTAGTAGCGTTGTATTTATAGTGGTTTTCTATCCTATATGTTGGTTTGCTTCTATTCTTTGTTTTGCAGCTTATATGGTGTTTTTGAAACAGTTTTCAGTAGTTTTGTTCGTTTTGCTGCTCATTTGGTGGGTTTTTTGCATAATTTCTAGTCATTTATCTCTCTTTCTGGGTCGGTTTGAGTCCCTTTGGCATCCTCCGACCTCTCTGGTATCCTTTTGAGTCCCTTTGGCATCCTCCGGCCTCCCTGGTATCCTTTTGAGTCCCTTTGGCATCCTTCGGCCTCTCTGGTATCCGTTTGAAACCCCCTCTCTCCTGACGCTGTGACTCAGCAGTCATCTAATAAATTAGCTGATTCACAAATATCTGCATTAAATCAAAGTGAGCTGATAAATGTTTTATTAAACTCGGATTGAATCGTCTCTTTCCGTTGTTGCTGTCACTGAAACAGCATCAAGTTAACAAAGGTAAACAAAGCAACATCGGAAATGGTCCTTTCAAAATAAGGATATACGTCGATCGTGAAAGTAGAGTAAAGCGAAAATTACGTACAACAATGTAGACACAAATTATGAGCTAAATCCATGTATTCAGTTCATCTCAGATTCTCATCACGCTTTTATTGTGAAACCCCGTACCGGAAGTGCATATCGTTAGCTCCGTTAGCTTGTTAGCTGCTCTCGGTGGTCCCGTTAACCGGTAGATCGGTTCCTCTCCTCCGGTAGAAACAAGATGGAGCCGTTAAACCGGGTTTACTAAACACATCTGGAAGTGTTAATCATCGCGAGGACAAAAGACAGGCTTTAATGAACGGTCAGGTAGGTGACGTCACATTCAGCATCCTTTTTAAACCATGGATGTAGCAACAGAGCTGGATACAGAAAGTACCCGGATGTAGCCCCACAGCGCATGCGCAGTCGAGTTGTCCAGTGGTATTTATAGCTATTTCGTTGTGTTTTGCATCTTTTATGGTTGGTTTTGCATCTTTTTTCGTTATATTGTGTATTTTTTTTGTGGTTTTGCTTCTTTTTGTGGGGGTATGTATCTAATTTTGATAATTTTGCATATTTTTAAAGTTGATTTTGCATCTATTTTTTTGTAATTTTGCGTCTATTTGAGTAGCTTTCTATATTTGTATGCTGGTTTGCCTCTAATTCAGTCGTTTTGCATCTGTTTGAGTTATTTAGTTGATGTATTACTTGCAGTACCTCTAATGATCGGCTGCTGTCAGTAACTAAGTAATGTATAAATACCATGATTAACATACCAGGATCAAAGCAGCTGTTAAAGCCCAAACATGCCGTTATATCAAACCAGCTTATTTCATGTAATCCCCGCTAACCGACAGACCCTCAGGAGCTCCAGCTGAGGCGTTACATTTCAATATTTAGATATTTCAATCTGCTTGTTCCTGCAGGTGGAGGTCGGCATGGCGGAGCAGTCGGACCCCGAAGATGCCGGTGAGACACTATTTACTCTATTTACTCTATCTACTCACTAACACTAAATACATCACACTCAAAAAAAGACTTAAAAAATCTCTCAAAACAAATAAATCCAGCGTTATTTAAAAACTTAATCCAGGATCAAACTCACCCTCAGTTTAGTTTCCACTCCTCTTCATCCTCCTTCCTCCTCTTGTTTCCTCTCCTTGTTTCCTCCCCTCAGCATATTTTCAGCAGATAATAAACAATTCATTCCGCGATGCCTGTAAAGTATACATTCCCCCCCCCCACACACACACACACACCCGAAATCCAGTCTAACTCCAACACTGAGCTCATTCAATTATATTTTAACGATGTCTCCTGTCTCCTATCTCCTATCTCCTGCTTCCTCTCTCCTGCTTCCTGTCTCCTCTCTCCTGCTTCCTGTCTCCTCTCTCCTGCTTCCTGTCTCCTCTCTCCTGTCTCCTGCTTCCTGTCTCCTCTCTCCTGCTTCCTGTCTCCTCTCTCCTGCTTCCTGTCTCCTTTCTCCTCTCTCCTTCACAGCGTCAGAGAGAGATATCTACATGCGCTTCATGAAATGTCACAAATGTTACGACATCATTCCCACCAGCTCCAAACTGGTGGTTTTCGACACCACTCTGCAGGTATTACCATTATTATTATTATTATTATTATGTATTTATATTTGTTGTTATTGTTGTTGTTATTTATCACTACAAACACATTCTATTATTATTGTTGTTATTGTTTCAGGTGAAGAAGGCATTCTTTGCTCTGGTGGCCAACGGAGTGAGAGCTGCTCCACTGTGGGAGAGCAAGAAACAGAGCTTTGTAGGTGAGTGTGTGTGTGTGTGTGTGTGTGTGTGTGTGTGTGTGTGTGTGTGTGTGTGTGCAGGAGGATCATGTCATGG